CATATCTTGGAATGCATCCATGAGAACGCTTGTAGGTTTACTAGGGCGTTTAGTATTAGGTTTAGGGTTAACTGTATTTAAATATAATTCAATACATCAATAAAGATAACATTTAAAAAAAATGTGAATTTTTTTTTTTCGCTGAAATCAAAATTTAAACAGAATAATGTTTTGTACCAGGCAGTAATAAACTTCCTCCCATTCTTTTAATCTGAGCACCACGTGGAGAGGATATCTCCGAAATATCACCAGATGGTCTATTCTGTATGGGTTGCATTGCACTACTATAGACTATATAGAATAGATAAATAAAATGTTAGTTACGAATACATTAAATATATTGTACAAAAAAATCGATTAGAGAAAAAAAAAAAAGGTTATTCACCATCCTGATTTGTAATTAATGAGGATACACTTTCATAGTATGCTTGTAGCAACATATTCTCACAATGTTCAAGTGCCTCATTAAAGTTTTCATAAATAAGTAAAGTGTTATCAGGATTATATGGTTCATCTCTCCACAATCCAATAGCTCTAAGAGCCTTTCCCACTTCAGAATGATAAGATGCACCACAAAATACTAGATAAACTTTTTTAACTTGTAAAAGCCTTTGAATTCTGAAAAATGCTTCTGCAGCACTGAAATCCAAACCACTAACAAGATTAAAGTCCAGAATCAGAAAACGAATTGGATTTCTTCTCCATTCACCATATGTTAATATTCTTCGAATTTCTTTTTCTACACCACTAATTGTTCCGAAAAACAAATAACCTTGGAGTTTGATTGCATAAATTTGACTACCAACATATTTAAGAAACCTTTGTTGACGATAACGACGCCTAACAGTAGATGAAATCGAACTTCCTGAAAAGGTAGCACGTATCGCACTCTTGCGAGAGTTTGAAACCACAAAAAATATGCATGCCATTATAATTCCTAAGAAAATTCCTTCAATAAAACCAAGAGAACCCATAGCAACAACAATGGCAACAATGGTAAAATATTCCATGCGATTGACAATTCCCCAAGTATCAATCAAAGCCTCTTTTAATAAGTCTAATCCAAGATGAAAAATAAGAGCACCAACTACCATTACTGGGATGTAACCAACAATCCAGGGACCCACAAAAAGAATAACCGCAGTTCCAGCAGCAAGCATTAACCCAGCAACGCGACTATCACCACCAGATTTAATGAATAATACAGAATTAGTATACACCAAATAATCTGAATATTAAATATATTTAATATTTTGGAAAAGATAAAACATATTAGTATTGAATAAAAAAAAAAAAAAAACTTAACAATAATAGTAAATTTCTTACTTTGAACACTGCCACATAATCCGGATGCAATGTTTGATATTCCATGAGCAACCAATTCACGATTGGTATCCACATTATCTTCATTAAGTGATACACCCAAAGCTGGAACATTTATTGGTACATGTAAAATTCCTACAAAGTTAAAATCAAAACTTTAATTAATTATAAATATTATAAATTTAAAATTATTAATGAATAAATTAAAATTTTAATAATACCAAAAAATGTAAGAGCAAACATTGCAGGAATCGTTTGAACTAATGCACCAGGGTCTACCTTGGTAAAATCTAATTTTTAAAAAAGAATTTATACAGTTAAAAGTGTATTTAAAATAATAATAATTATTATTATTATTATTATTATTATTAAACAATACTGACCAAACCGGCCAATATAATTATACCAGGGAGCTTCACTGTCAGGTAATTCAAAAACCCATTTTTCATCTCTTAAAACTTTCCATGAGAAATTGCATATGAAAATAGTGATATAGAATAAAACAGGAACAACCATAAAATAAATTGGAACAACAAGGCAATGATGAATTTTGGATTGAATTATCCTCAAAAGTATAGCCAAGCCTAATGCTGAACCCCATAAGGCAAAGTTATGGCCATGGAGGAAAAGTTCGTTAAGCGTATCAAGGGAAAACTCTAAATTTTTATCAAGACGCACGGAGACCTCAATACCAGTTGCAAAAAGAAACCATCCGACACCACCTAATATAATAAAATAATCAATCATCAAGTAATAATGAAGTGATAAAATTTTCTTAAATAATATATACCAATGCAACCAACTAAAATGTGCCTAGGAAAAAATTCAATCAAAGAACCAAGCTATATTTTGAAAAAAAAAGACTAATTGTTATTATTTGTTATGAACACTATAAAACGCAATTATTGATTAAATACTTACTTTTAAAGCACCCATTATCCAAAACACGGCACCGGTCAGAATAGAACTTAGCGCAAAAGAGAGCATTGTAGTAGCAATGATAACATTGGTTTCATAATCTTGATTATACTTTCTGCTATGGACAACTGATGTAATAATTTCGGCCCTGTTTAAAAACAAATATAGAATTGAATTCATTTCCAATACAATCAGATTTAAGGCTATTAAAATTCACTGTTGTAGATCTTACATTATATGCAAGAAGGGTACGACTAGTATATAAAAAAACAAAAATAGCACAATATTAGACAACTGAATCTCTAAAATAAAACCAGAAAAAAAAACATATATATTTATATATATATATATATAAACCTTCTATCATCATGCTGCCATTACCACCTCCAAAAATACTTCCACCCCCAGAATACACTACCTGGGATACGATGCAACTACAAATGAAACAATTTTAATAAAGAATTGAAGGATACTTGTAATAAATTCTATTTTGACCGGGTCAAAATGACCCCCCTCCTAAAATTTAGGGCTAGTGCGGGCCAGAATTATGTCAACATAGTTCTGGCCCGCACTAACACTAAATTCTAGGAGGGGTCATTTTGACTCGGGTCAAAATAGAATTTCCCTAATAAAAAATATTAGTATTAATATACCTAACAAAAAACATTGAAATTCCATCCGGCCCAAAACTACTAAATATTGGG